ATGAACAAACAGTTTACTACCTATTACAAGCTGATGTTTAAGATTCCTTATGATAAATGATTTAGAACTTAAATCTTTCTTCTGCAGATGGTAGCAAGGTCTCTGATGCAACCTTGATGGAGGTCTTATTGATGAATGACTTTAAACTTGTTATAAACAACACAGCATACAGCGTGTCACCTCTTGTAAAAGGTAAGAGCGATGCTTAATAACTCTGATTATCTCACTTCATCTAGTGAAACATGGGAAGGCTCAGAAAACTGGAACCTGTCTGGAGAAAGGGATTTCTCTTTGTTTTGTTTTGTTTTTTAACCACTGGATGGTACTGCTTTTTGGGGTTGGAGGTGGGGAGAGAATGGAGAAAGGTAGGTTCTTGAAATGTTTTTTATGAGAAACATTTTCTTTTCAGATAAGCTGAGTAGTGAGCATGCTACTGAAATGGAAGATATCAAATCCTTGGTTCACAGACTGTTTGTGGCTCTGCATTTAGACGATCATCAGATCAGGAAAGAGAGGGAATTGCTGCAGAAACTGGACCATCTGAAAGAGGAGCTGTTGCCTCTTGAACAGGTTGGGAAGTGGGGTTACTTTTTCTTAAAACTCAAAAGAATTTCCTTTCATCAAGAGTGAGTCCTGTGATAGAAGAAAATCAGCATGAATGACTAGGGTGTGTCTGTTTTGTTTGTTATGTAAACAAGGTCAATTCAAATAGAATTCAGATTCTTTTCAATTCAGTTCTTTTCCCTCCTGCTATGTACATTCCCTGGGTAGAAACCGCAATGCCTGAAGAAAGCTGTCGTGGACAAGCCACAGCATGGCTAGTATTGGGATTGAAAGTCTCGTAGTCACCTGTTGCTGTACGAGTTCTGAATACCCATTACAGGAAAAAAAAATAGTGAGGTAGAAATCACGTGTGGCTCAGGCTGGGGCTTTCTGTATCACCAAGGCAGCAAGGCACCTTCTTTGGACTAACGGTTGCCAGAATCCAAGAAGGGAATTTACAAATGTTGATCTAGGGCAGGCTGAGCTAACCCAGCATGAGGGGAGGAGGTGAGAAAGAGCCTGACAAAGTGGACAGACTTTCATTTGGCTTCAGAGCTGCTTTGTGAGGACCCGCCTCAGCATTAACCAGAGCTGCCTTCAATGGGAAGTGGAAATCCAGTAGACATAAATCCCTAGTAGTGGCAAGGGGAGATTAAAAGCAGCATTTCTTGGTGCACAACAGCCAGGAGACCTGGTTACCCTTGGATTTCAGTTCTTTTCTTTCTTGTCAGAGTAAGTTGGTAAAAGGAGTCAGTAAAAGGTCTTGAAAAAGGATCTAGTCCAGCAGGAGAAAACATAGTTGAGGAGCTGCTCATCAGTTGCACTCATGTTTGCTTGAACAGGTTTCTGTATTTCCTTTCCTTAGATGAAAGACAGAATCACGGACAGTGCAGGTGCAAAGACCTCCAGGCTTTTATGGGTGGGCTTAGCTCTGATGTCAACACAAGGGGGAGCGTTGGCGTGGCTCACGTGGTGGGTCTATTCATGGGACATCATGGAGCCAGTCACATACTTCATCACTTACGGGAGTGCCATGGCTTTCTATGCCTACTTTGTTCTTACTAAACAGGTAAGTCCTAGTTTTGTAAATGTCTGGACTATTGTAAAGGTGGAAAATGGACTGTGAAAATCATAATGCTTGGGCTCTGATGAAAATACAATTCAGTAAGTAACCTTGCTGTGAGATAGGGACTTGTTTGATCCCTGTTGGGGCTGGATACAAACATTACATGATGTGAAATTAAGTCAGGTATTGTTACATGTGAACTGCAGACCAGCTGGTGAGCAGAACTACTACCTGTTACATTTCATAACCTATGCAACAGAATGAAAAGTGAATTAATTCATTTACAGAATGAAAAGTTATGAAAGTCTTTCCTTTTATTTTAAAATGTTGTAGGTCACTTTGAATAGTCAATAGCACCTTGCTCATTGCTGTAAAGGGAGAGCACCTAGTAGCGCTGTGGCAGTTTGTGAACGCCGCCTTAGAGCAGGCGAGGAAGCAAATCACTGAACAGTAGCTTTTATAATCTGACTGATTTTCCTTGACTTTGAATGAATGGAGGTAAATCTAGGACAGCTGAAATGGGGCAGGAAACAAGCTTTGTTTAGAAAAGTTTGCTGAGCAACAAAAAACCCCAGATCTTAACTGTGCTGCACAATACAGACTTGTCCTGAAATCCTGCAAGACTTGGAGGAATGTTTCTTTTTCCTGTTTTAGCTCTGTACTTTACTCCCAAAGTACAAATCTTGTTGTCAAACTTCCTGTGATGCAAAACTCTTTTTGTTACGGAGGTATGTGGAAAAGTAGCCAACACTTCCTCCCATGATACCTATAGTGGATCTACAGAGATCCACTCATGAGACATCAGGTTCCTTTAGTGAAAAGGGGAGATGCGTCTGTTTTTATGACGAGCTGGCTCTGACTGCGAGTTCTACTCCTCCTCACTGATTTTTAAGAAGGATTAAGGCATTCCTACTTTTTGTATATGAGTAGATAAAGAGACTTGGCTTTTTTTGAACAGCTGCTGGCGCCATTTCTTTAGACTTTCAAGTAAGTCTTTGAGAAATAGTAGTTGAACTTTCTCTGACCCTTTGGAAGTAGTGTCCATTGACTCAGGTGGCTTTAGATGCAATAGAAATTATTTCTACGAGGTGTCTAAAAGATCCTAATAACCTCTAAAGGACATAATTTCATATGTAGCCTCTTAACAGAACATGTGTGAGTTCAACTAGATAAATCTTCATGAAACAGGATTAATTTCTATTGAAAACTCATTTGTGCAGACAATCTGACCTCCACCCAGTTTTCTTGCTAACCCCAAATACATGCCCTGCTTTCTTCACCAGGACTACATTTACCCTGATGCTAAAGACAGGCAGTTTCTCCACTACTTCTATCAGAAATCCAAGAAACAGCATTTTAATGTGGAACGATATAACAAGCTCAAAGAAGACCTAGCAGAGGTATTTAAATACAGTCCTTCAATAATGAGGTAGCCTCTGGGTTAAGACTTTTTCCGTAAACTCTCAGCTAACAGGAAATTGACCTCAAGGTTTGTTACTTACATCCAAAACAAAGGGTGAATTCCTTATCAGCCAGTTTGAAGTGTTTAAATAACCATACAGTGTTTGCCATTGATGTATAAACTACTTCAGTAAGTCACTAGAAAGGGAGACCTTCATGAATTTAATTTTAAAACAAGTCAGTTTCTCAGCCCTACACACCCATTTTTTGCATACTAGAATATGATGCATTTCCAGACATTTTAATAGAAGAGCTGTATTGCTTTCAGAGAGTGTGTTTGCTGCACTGCTGTGGTAACACAATCTTCTCCCTTCCTTGGAAGGAAACTGTCTTGCAGAGTTCAGCATTTGACAACTTAATCCTTTTTGTCAGGTAAAAGCCTTAGATTTCCATCCAGTCACCCACATTCTGTAAAAGGTAGTGGTGTGTGTGTGCCTGGGAGAAACTACTTTGTAATCTTAATGAAAAAATACAGCAGATCTCACTCCTCAGTTCTTAACTCATCCATTCCATCTCCCCAGCCTTGTGTTCAATGTCTCATAAAAGAAAATTGAAGTTCTAGATCTAATTAGTTTTTATTTTTAGTTCTAGATCTGTGGTTCAGGGTATCGTTAATGAGCCACATTTGGCATAAGGCTAGTTTAGTGCTTTTTCAGTAGCCTGTGAGTTGAATTTTGTAATTTCAGGAAAACAATACTTTGGAGTGTAGGTGTGTGGGTGGATGGGCAGGGTACGTGCTTCTCTCTGGATGACCTGAGCAGGTCTGTAAATGTTTGGTGTCCTCCATTTGATGAGTCTGGTTTCTTGCATAAGCCCAGTGCCTTCTGAGAAAGGAAGGATACTGGATGGGTGAAAGAGGAGGAGAAAACAGAGGGCTTCAGCCAGATGATCTCTCACTCTTTCTTGCACCGGCAGGCAGAAGAATCGCTGAGGCGTCTGCGCCAACCTTTGCACCTGAGGCTTCCAATCCAGGAAATCAGTGACAAGGACTGATTTTGGTTTTGTATATATTAGAATCACCCTTTCAAAGCTGATATGAACATTTAGTTACTCTATGGAAACTGGATATTTTTGACCACTATAGTCTTAAAAGTTGCAATAAATATCTATAAAAGTTATTTGGTGCCTTGACAGTTTGGGTTTGTTTGTTTTTTTGGTTTCCTGTTTTGTTTTGATTTTTTTTAATACTATAAAGAAGCTGCTGAAGCAAAGTTCTTAAAGAGATTGGTCAAATCTCATTAGTAAAATGGAGGCATTTCACCCTGCCTGGTGAAATGACAGGGATATTTTATAGAACAAGGGTGGTCATTTACTACTATAGCATAGCAATAGCTCACAGAATAATTAACTTCTGCATTGAGTATTAAGTATACTTTTTTTTCTTGAAATTACCGTTTCCCCTTCCCTAGCTCTGTGCTTTGATACAAACACCAGTGGTGGAGGGTGGAATTGCATTACAAGTAAGCTTTTCTAGTAAATATTGCTGGGAAAGTAAGATATATCCAACTCATTCACTATAAAATAATTTATGTTTCACTGTTGCGTTTTATTGAATGAATTTATAAAAAAAATCAGATGTATACATGCATGATTTATACAGAGTTTAAAATTAGCCACAGTAATATTTAACATCTGTGACTCAGAACATAGTATATGGAAAGACTTAACTAAGAGACTTAAAGCAGAGCCAGTAAATACATTATTTTATACCCAGGAAGTGGATTAAGACACTTTTCTCAGCTTGAATTCTCCATTATCCCCCCGAGTTAAGCATATGCACCAATAATGTAAAAAAATAATAAAAGAAACATTCACTTCTAGTCAATATGATTGAAATTACTGATGCTGCAGTAGTAGCAATCCTATGGTGAAACATCCCGTGCTGACAAACACACTGTCACTTTTGTATACACCATGACAGTTCATGGCTGATCTCTGGGGCCAAGGGGAGGAAGAGGCTGATCCAACACCAAGGCCTGAAGTACAAAGGTTTACGTATGTTGTATTTTGCAGAGCTGCCTAGAGATGTCCAGCAGTTGTAAGTGAACCTGGAACACTGAAGAGGTTTGCTTTATCTGCAGACGTGTGTACATGGTGAGCTTACCAAAGTCACGCTGTGCATGGTCTCATTTCACTACTGCTCACTTTTCTCCTGAGGATGCAAAGCACCAGCAAGCTTTAATTGCACCCCAAATATAAATGGTGTGCAAGCAAAAAGAAACCCTTTATCTATATTACTACTACAGTTTTACTCAAGGAATTAAGTTCCTTTTTAGTGTTGAGAGAAAATTAAAAAACGTCTAAAAATGTCTAAAATACAAAAAAAAAATGGAAGGTGGATACTGCTGTCCACAGATTTAAAAAGATGCCCTATAAACATATTCCCTGTAAATTTTGCTCTTGGAGCAAGAAAAGCTAATCTAAGGCAACATTTGAAATGTTTTGGAAATAATAAAGTATGCCATAGTTAGATGGCAATCAAGCAAAAAACTTTTAAGAAAAAAAAGTAATCTGGAGCACCTCTTCATAGTTTTGCACCAGTCAACTTTTCCCAAATTCCCTGAGATCGAGAGCTATAATACTAGCTTTAAAACTGCTTTAAGATTTTAGGAACGGTTATATATACAAACTATAACACTTGATCCCAGTGTTTTTGCAAACAATCTTGTAGAATATTAGTCTGCTGAACTAAGATGGTGTGTCTTTCACTTCTGCAGTGAGTATTAGTTAATGGTTGTCATTGCTAAATAACAATCTACTTAGATTTTGGATGAAAATACAATTTTTTAGTTAACATTGAGGCAAAACAGGGAATCTGTTTTTTTCCTATAGCATTAATGTCTCTGCACATATCCACTTTGCGATGAGATACTTTCCTGTTAACAACAGTAAGAAGTTCTGTGAACTCCAGTGAAGAGCCGTGCTTCCTAAGTACCTCACACAAATCTTGAATGTACCAGGAGCCATTTACAGTTTCACGATGAGAAAAGTAACCTATTGCAGAACAGAAACATAAACTTATATCCAAATATAAGTAGTGATGCCACTTGAAAAATGTTAACAAGAGTTACTGCTCGCTAGCTGTGTCTGTAAAGGATTACTAATGGGTGTAAATCTTAGTTCACCAATTATGTAGTTTCACTGGAAACTGTAGATGGGAAATGGCTTTGAGATCACTTTTAGTGCTCAGCCAAGAGGATCATGGTTCAGGGACTGGTAGCTTACAGGTTTGCATCTGCATGTTACAGGAGAGCAGATGGTACTGAGGACAAGATACATGGAGGACCAGAGAGGACAGCCATGTAGTGCAGGGAAATTTATAAGCCACCAGAATCCTACAGTCTTGGAAAAGAGGGGAAAGTTTGCTGTCAGTAGACAGCTCAGCAGCAATATTGATGGGAATGTCTCTGCTTGGCAAATTAAATGCAACCTTGATAGTTTATTATATTCACTTTTTCCTTAACGTCTGAGGCTCTTTTCCAGACGAGATGTCACTTATGAGACATAGATGACTTGCAACTGTATTCGTTATTTTGACTGCAAAATGAAGAAGTGTTCAAGCTCCTTACAGCAAAGCAGCAGATACCAGATGTAAAACATAAGAACTTACCTTGTGCCACAGAGTAGCACATGATGAAGTCTGCACCAGCAGGCAGGGTATAGACACCAGCTGCATCCACTTCAGTCTCATTGACATTGCTACTGTCTATTGAATCCTGAACAATAACTGGATCATCATGTTTATCACCTCGACATGCCTGTTGGTGAGAAGTATTGTTATGCGCTCACCTATGTTAATATGATACTTCTGACACTAACCAGAGGGGACTTCTGTTCAGTTAGCTGTTCCACATTACCATTAGTCTGGATTCATAAAGACCCATTTACTTCTCTGTCTGTTAAAATACTGGTGGTGAAGTCCAGTGAAAGTTCTCAGCCTCTCCTCATATGAGAGATGCTCTAGTCCCTTAATCACCTTTGTGGCCCTTTGCAGGACTTGCTCCAATAAGTCTGTATTTTTCTTGTATTGGGCAACAACCCAGAACTGGACACTACTTCAGATGCAGTCTCACCACTGCTGAGTAGAGAGGAAGAATCACCTCCCTTGGACTTGTTGGCAAGGCAGTGTTGAACAAGTACTCTGAAGCACACAGCCAACATTATCTGCTGTTACACTTCTGCTCTCAGTTCAGTCTCAAATGTGTTAGTTGAGAGGGGTTTTTTTGTGAGAAGCCAGCTAAGTGAGCCCAGTATTGCAGAAAGGCTATACATGGAGGATAAGAAGGTAAGAACACACTCAAAAGATACAAAGTAGGTAAGGAGCATTACTTAAGAACTATCACTAGAGAGAAACATTAAAATCTTCTTTAATTTACAGTGAAGTTCCATCCTTGATGCTTCCTCTGATTTCCAGAAGTAAATTGTATGCCAGTTGTGCTGTAAAAGAACTCAGTTCATGAACTGAACTAAGTTAATTGGCTTTTTGATGAGTATATATTATAAATGTTTCCAAGTATTACTTAAAATTTAAATATGTCACTATTTTTCCATCTTTGGTACCTGGTTTAAAAAAAAAATAAAAATCAAAGCTGAATGAGTCCTAATGAAAGGTGAATTAACAATGTGCTGATTCTTGCAGCAGCCTTTTTCCTAAGGAAGCTTTCATTTGGAAAAAAAAAAAAGTTAATTCTTAGAATTACTCTATAAACTATTATTGTTACAATCTGCTGAAAGCTAGGTTCTCATATGAGTTTGCTAATTGTAATCTGGATTAAGATGGGATAAAGCCCTGTGTAACCTGGTTTGGCCCCATAACTGACTCTGCTTTGAACAGGAGGCTGGACCAGAGACCTCCCGAGGTCCCTTCCAACTTGCATTATCCTGTGAACAAAGGAGTGAAACAGGAGGTTACATGTGGGCTTTATTTGACCACTCAGCATAAGCAGTATTTCTGAGACAATAAAACCTTAAACAGATTCTTTAAGTTCTACAGAGATGACAAGTATTGGTCAAAGCAGAAAAGAAACAAAACAAAAAAAATAAAGGATACCAGAAAAACCATCACCACCACCACCAAAACCAAACAACAGAAAACCCACAAAAAACCACCACAAAAACTAACTTCTGTAAAGGTCAAGTAAAGGGACTTGCCTGGAAGGAAACAGGGAAGGTAAGGAGGTTTGATAACCTTCTACAGCCTCGCCTAGGGCTGTGAGGTGTGAACATTAGGAACTGAGCTGAGGCTGTACACAAAAAAATGACGCTGTCTTCTCTGCCATTGAATATACACTGGCAGTCAATCTGACATGGGCTTAATTTGGGTTGCTCTTCATAAAATTACTTCTTATTAAATACAACTAGAATCATAATATTAACACTTGTGTACATAAAGGTCTTTAAAAAAAGGTAAGAATCCTTGTCTTAAATGCCTTTAAGGAACAGTTTTCCATACCTTCTTTCTTAAAGATGCAAAAACTTTCCCTTGTGTAAAGACCGTATCAGGAAAACCAACTTCTGTATTACAAGAAGACACAGGTCAGTGTTAACTCCACTGAATTCAGAAACAGACATCTTACCTGAATGATAAATATCTTTGGTTTTCCTACCAGACTCTTGCACTTGTCTCCTCTGAACATGTCTGTGATTGTCTCAATTTTGATTTGGTCATCATATGCGTAAACATGATCATTCTCACCATGACTCAGGAACACACAAACAAAGCAGTCAGCATCACTGTGGTCATCCTTAGAGGCTGAAACAGTCAAGTCATGTTTAGATGACTAAACAGTGACCTTCAGGTTTAAAAAATATTGCACATTTGTATCACATTATTTATTCTCCAATCAGTCCTTTTTCAAATGAACCCTATTTTCAGATAGTGTAATACTGCAGAGATTTGAAGGTACAGTGATTCCACATGGCTGAAGGTAAGGGCCACTTCAAGTAAAAAGAATAATATTATTAACTTCTCCCAGCTCCAGGTACTTTCTTTCAGCTCTTAACAACTTCATTAGTTCTCTCCACAGAAGCTTCAGTTACATTGCAATAAAATACTCTGCAGTCTAGCCCTTAAGTCCTTCTAATGTTAAACAACTTCCTTGTGCACAAAAATTA